ACTGTTACAGTTGCTGAGTGGTTTACTCTTGCTGCCTCGTATGGATGTTCCACATACGCAGTGGAGTACACAAAATTAACTTCGTTCGTATAAGCAATGCATTGATGCTATTGGTTGCCGTACACGTTGCCCTGATACAGCAATAGAGTATGGGAAATTGTAGAAAGATACAGTGAGAGATATGGTCAGAGAGAGGGAGAGAGAGCGCGCGAAAGTGTAATTATTAAATTATGAGATTATGAAAGTTTGCTGTATACGAGAATACTTTGCTGCTGTACGAAGGCAATGAGGTGAGTAAGTGGTCAACTGGTTTATGCAGCAGCAGTAGCAGCAGTAGCAGCAGCATGTGATGTTTTGATGTCCGAAACAGGCTGTTAGTACTGCCATACTGTAACCATGGTTGATGCTTACAGTGCAGTTAAGCAGATAATTTGCTGATGCTGCTAATGTTCATGTTACGAGTATTTGGCTGACAATGGGAATGAGTATGAAAACGGACGCTACCGTATATTCTTATTTACAAATACGAATATGCGGCGTTACTTACAGACGAATATCATTGACCTTTAAATTTTTATATTCACGTTTAACATTTTTTTTTTTAATTAAAAAGCAAAATAGGTTAAGTAAAAAAGTAGACTAAAATGAAATAAATAAAGTAAAATAACTAAAGCAGCATTAGATGTGCTGTTATCATAGATATGAATATGATAACGAATATAAATACGAATGTGAATATGAATACCAAAATGAAAATAAAAACGAAAACTAACAAGAACGCGAATTAAAATACGAATATGAATGCGAATAATGAAACAATAATAAAACGATATCGAATGATTTGGATAATATAATATCGGCATTTCGGTCGATAACAATAATGATAAATATGTGATTGAACATATCGATACCACATATATTTTCATAATAAGAGCATGACCTTATCGGTAACGGGGTTGATTAAAATATGTAATACCAGGCCGATAAACAGGTATGGACGTACATTAGGGTCCAAGAGAAAAAGTAAAGTCGGAATTTTATTGCTCTCTGTTTTTTTTATTTCGAAATCAAAAAATATTTGGAGATCGCTCAAATAATTATTTTTCGTTCAAATGCATGAATAAATGATTTCTTGTAAATCAATATTTTTCGATCGTAAAACTCTGTTTCTCTTCAGGAGACTTCCAGTAATAAAACCTAATTATTTATTTTACCTTTTTTTAGTACTAACGATTTATTAAATTTCCGACTTTACTTCGTCTGGCCCACCCTAATATACATATATATATCGATACATCGATCGGGAATATTTTGGATATTTGGAGTATTTAAGGTTATATGTATTTGAAAAATGGAATGTACCAATAAAATGCCGGAATGGTATCGAAAATATTTCGACAATGATAGAAACCGGAAATTTGTACTACGACCAAAAGATAGAGCATCCCCGACTTAGTAATTTATCAAATAAAAAAGTTTTCATTCGTTTAAGCAGTGCAGGATGATTTGAAGTTCGAAGATCATTTAGAGGTTGAAAAAGGCACTTTTGAGAAAAAATTACGGTCTAAACCGGACGTACGTAGGTAATGCCACCATAATATAGAGCATCCCTGATTTGGTAGGTATATTTTTGAGTTTTTCAATAGAAATATTTCACTCCATTTTTGAGGGGGTAGGCGGTTGGTCTAGGACACCCTCGATATGGGACGATTCGCCACAATCGGCCCAGAGCTCTGACCAAAATTTCAGGCAATGAAAATTAGCATGAAATATGGCAAAATACTTGTAACCTTTCAATTAAAATGTGGCAAAATAAAAAATTTAAAATGGCGTCTTTACTGCTACGCTTTAAATACGCTCTTTTCGCGAAGAACCGCGAATAAACTTAATAAACGCTTTCTACAAGCGATGACTAAAAGCTAGTTCACGACTTATTCTACAGTTTTCCAGGTAGCTAATTACGAATGTGAAATAATTTTTTTGAATTCAAAATGGCGGATTACACTGTAGGAAAATCTCGAGTTTTGAAATTACACAAAAAAACGCCAAAACAGATCAGGTCATTTTCCCAAGTTATCTTAATTTTTATGAAAAAAATTCAAATTTTAAAAAGGAAAAAAATATAAAAATAATAGCGGCCTTATTCATAAAAATAGTAGCTTTATAAAAGGTCTATAAATTGAAAAATGTATGAAAACGTCAATTTATAAAGCTCTTTAAACCTACACTATTTTTTATGAATAAGGCCACAAATTTGTTGGAATTTTTTCATCTCTGTCAAAGCCTTTTTTACCAAAAAATCTAGCTCCTAACGATGACAATCAATGAATAACTCAATAAGTTGTTAATGCTCAAATGAAAATGTACAATAATTTTTTGTTTGAAATTAAAGCAGGAAACAATGTTACTCATACGCCACAGCGTACATGGGCCTACTCTTAGATGGCGTATGAGTAACGGAAAAAATAAATTCGCATGTTCGTAGTACGTGGCGTATGAGTAACATTCTCATCTCTAACAAAGTATGTAGTAATTTCGTTGTTGATAAGCGGCGCTCTAACGAAGTTAAGGAAATATTTTTTTGAATATATTGGTAAAAACCTGAATAACAAAAAATAAATAAAAATAAATATATCGACCAAAAATTTCACACAGCTTTTTGATAATAAATTTATTAATATCTGGATAACAAATATGAAAAATATATCTTACCATTGATCTAAGAAATTATCAAACAATTTAGCTATAGTTACATATGTATACATATACATATGCATACATACATATATCGATAAGTGTACTCTCACCGTGAACGATAAATGCGTGGAAAGTATTTTTGTAACTTACCGGTACATTGAATCTTATCGACGACAACTGATGCTATAAGTAACTTGGCAAAGTAAGTTTGTAAGTTATCGATAAATGTATCGATTATAATAAAATTAACCGAAAAATATAACTATATCAACAATAATTTCCATCGATGTGCCGATAACCGAAACAGAAAAAAAATATATCGATTGATCGTAGAGGTTATCGATCAATTTATCCATGATATTATCAGTGAATTTATCAAAAGTTTTATGAATGTACAAATAAATACATAAATTGATAAGTATATTAGTGTCATGATCGATAATCGAAACGTTATCGAAAAATTCAACGACGAAAGTTGGTGGTATAACGTAAAATTCGCAAAGATTTATTGATGTATATAGATCGAAAATTTGATCGCCACATTTAGCGATGACACAATTGATATACTTATCAATAACTAAATGCAAATGAATGCAAATATCGATAAATTTTTTGGTTAGTTATCGAAAAAAATTTTCAAGTATTTATCGATAAATTTTTGAAAATGGCATCGGCACAGGGCGGACTGCTAGCCTGGCCTGAACTCTTTCCTCTTTTAAAGCTAAAAGTTCAAACTTGACGACAGCTTGAGTTAAAGCTTTACACTAAGCCAAGCTACAAGTTTAATTTTAATGTTTACTACACGCCTAATTTATGTCTCTGCGCTCTCCCCTCCATCCTTTGGCGAATTTCATATTTATTTGCTTTTTATTGCGGCCATTGACTCGCCGCCACTCTCACTAGACGCCTGTATTTAGGTATGCTCTTTTGCGCGCCAGAGCGCATCAAACAACCGCTCGCCCAACGCTACTCGTTTTACCGTTATACACTTCGACAACATCCAACATTCGTCCACATCATTAACATCAGCTCTAGCGCCATCATCAACAGCCAGCCAGCCAGCCAGCTACCATCGATGCGACAATCTCCGACTTCTTTACGACTCTCGACTCGACCGACTCAACTCGAGTACCATAGTTTGGTGCTTCGGCACCTCGGTAGTTCGAAGTAGATTTGTAGGCTGTAGGGTTGGTAGGTGGCGCAACACGCATACACTTACAAAAGCATCTTGCTCTAAAAGCAGCATTTGCAACTTTCACACGCTATACAAAATGTGTGTGTGTTTGTGTGCGAGTGTGTCCTTTCGATTTTTATCATATAGACACGTTAGCTTCTTGTCGAATGCTCAGTTCGACTTGTGCACTGACAGAGGTCGCGCTGTGTTTGTAGTGTGACATTTTAGTTTTCGGCAGCTGGTTTGTGTTGTATCCGTTCTACATATTCGTACATACATTTATATTTAGGAGAGTTTGATGGTGTCTGGCTGGCGTGTTGAATATAAAACTACAAATAAATTTTCAGTTTGGATTTACTTAGTTTGAAGCTGCACTTGGTCCATTGGCCGTCGAGTGTTTTCGTTGGCAGTACATTAGTATTGGTACGCGTATGTTGGTGTGCGGTTTGTCTGTAGAGAGGGACTCAAATTTGTGGCGGCGATTATTCAGCGAGTTGGCGGCAGCAGCACACATCTAGCAGCTAAGGAATATTGTGGCACACTCCAGCTTTGCGTATAAATTTGCGTAATTCGCGTTGTGAGATTAAATTGTTCAGCACATTCAGTACAAGAGCGGCCGCAAGGTGAGACGTGCTGTGATGGTGCGGTTTGGCTATTAGACGGAGTTAGTTGGTTTGGCACTGGTTGAGACCGCTAGTTATTGGTTCAGTCAAGGTATGATTGAGTTCATCGCACGTTGGTGTGTGTGTGTGTGCAGCGTCAGTGCAGACAGTAGAAGGGGCAGAGTCAGCGGCAGCAATGGACGCAGCGGAAGCAGTGTCGAAGTAATGTTCTAGAAGACAAATAACGAAATTGCAAACTGCGCAGTGCGACGACAGCAGCGAGGTGGGGGGCTTGTGTGTCTGTGTGCGTGTGTGCAAATCGAGCAAATAAGTATTGCAAACAGTGTAATCACAGTTAATCCGTGTTCAGCAGTGCTCTTCAACAAGTGTGAAAGTGTATAAAAGGTTGTTGCTTTTTTCTGGTGGCTACCAAAACCATTGCAGTAGCAGTTTATGTAAATTACCTGGGCACAGACTGAGTGACGAGAGACTTAAAAAAAAGTTATAAAATCGAATTATTTGTAAAAAAGGATTTTTGTAAATGCTACGCAACTAAAAACTTTTTCACTAAACTAATTACTTGTAGTGTTAATTGTATATACATAAAATTTGCCTAAAAACAGCAAACTCACACAAAGGTGCCAATTCGAGAAGCTTGAATTTGTGGACGAGGCAGCTTCAATTTCTCTGGATTTCTTAATGAATCATGGTCGAAGAGTTTCTGGAGAAATTGCCTGAAATTGACACACGCTACGAGGTGAGCCAAAGCAACCATGCTCATATATATACATTAGGGCGGGCCAGTATTTTTTTTTTTGGTGTTTGCCAAATTGCGAAAATATGTTTCCAAGAAAATGTGAAAATTTTTACTGTTGCGCCTTCTGATGGAAGTTTTGGGAGAAAAATAAGTGCAGAAATGGATTCCGTATTCGATGTTTTTATAAAAAATTTAAGCACTTTTTTACGACACTGCAACAAATTGCTAAGAAACCCGTTTTCGCAATTTGGCAAACTACAAATTGATTTTATACCCATTATTTCTTCGGAAATTTTGTTTAAAATATCACGTAGAATACTTCTGGCCTATACCCGCATAGTCCCATACAATTTGACCTGCCCTAATATACATAAATATATTTAGTACATGCAGTGACCCTTTGCAGTTACAACTTTTTTCTTGTTTTTTTATAAACGTAAAATATGTTTATATGCTTTAACCAAAACCATATAAATTGAAGTTTCAAACTTTACATAAAGTTTAGAAAAATTCAACAAATTTTCATAAAAATTTCGAATTTTTTAATCTGAATCTGTAGAATATTTTTGCGTATATAGTTTTATACTCACAAAATTTAAGTAAAATAAAGTGCAAGTTTCAAGTGAATAAAAAATTTGTTTTTTAAATATTTTTTTTTGCGGACTCGTTTGCGGTTTTTGAAGCCAATACAACAATATTTAAAAATATTTGTCTGTCTGTATGCTTGTACGCATATCACTCGAAAACTAATGCATAAGATTGAATGCAGTTTTCGCCGATGAATTGCTAGAAGTCTAACTTAAAATATAGAAAAAAAATTGAAAGTTACCACCGTTTTCAAAATTGCAATTTATGTAAATTAATAAGATAAAGTAAATATTGCAATTTGGCTGTCAAAAGAAAGAGGTTTAACATGGGTATCAAAGTAAAGCAGTTTAGGATATTTTACTGCCGAAAATTAAATTGATAGAATAAACGAAATATATAAGCTAAATAAGCTAAAAGGTTTAACAAAGCTTAATGTCGGAAATATTTTTTTTAGGCGGGTTGCCACCTATTTGAAAAATTTAATTCAGTTAAATTTGCATGATAAAGTAAGTATTGAATTAGTAAACTTTCGATGAAAGTACGCGATGGTAGACTCGAGTTATAAGATTATAAATTAGATTTCCAGTAGTACTTTACCTACTTTCTAAATACCTTCGAAAATATACAGACTAACATCCACATTCATAAAAAATAAAGAATGCTTCATAAATCGAAAATTTGTTTTAAAATCCTACTTTATAAAGCTCTTTAAGTCTATTTTATTTTTTTTTATGAATGAAGCCATAGAGTTTTGGAAGGGAATAACAACACAAAAATATTTTTAAGATGCTGTGAAGCACGCCGGGTATTTCCTGGTATTTTATAAGAAACTCATGTTTATATGAAAAAGTGCAAAAATCGGTTTGCAAAAGAAATTAAAAATCAACGCGATTATTTAACCGCTTGAAACTTGCATTCCGTGAGACTTAAATATTATGGGCTATAAAACTGCATATTCAGAAATGTTCTTAAAATTCAATTTAAAAATTTCGAAATTTTTTTGAAAATTTGTTGATTTTTTTTTTGAATTTTGAATACATTTTAAAACTTCGAGTTATATGGTTTTGGCTAAAGCATTTACAATATTTTTGTAAAAACAAAAATTTAACTTTAAAGACCTTGTGAATATTAAAAAAAAAATCTTCATGTGAACACTTGTGCGCCTCACTGTAAATAAAAATTTTCAAATTAGTTTCCTGTGCCTATTGCGTTGGAATCCTTGGAGTAGTCAGCATTTTTCCGATTTCCTACATTCTATTTCAATTTATTTAGGTACTTTTCATCCGGTGTGAGTTTGTTTATCCTTTTTATATTGCCTCACTGCTCTCAAGTGCTCAAGTATTTGCGTTTGCTTTTTGTTTGTTGTTAACATTTTTCTAATAACAACAAAAGTATTGTGCCAGTAGCCAGCTAACTGTTGTGTTTGCTCAGCGTAACATGTTGCCCTACATACCCAGCTTTATTTGCATCCACAACCTACGTCAACCTAACAACAATTACCTGCGTTTCCGCACTACTTCGCCTAGCCAGAAGTTGCATTCCCTACCTCAACATAACTACATACATTTCTTTGCTGGTATGTATGCCCTCCTACGCCAATTGTCCACCCCCCACATTCACTCCCATCACCTCACATATCCTCACAACCCCTTTACAGACTACCTCATCCACTCTTCCGCACCTACATCTTGTCAACCTGCTTGCTACCCCCTCCAATATGCTCTTGTCATTTATTTATGTTTTGTCATTTTTTTTTTGTTTCCTTTGTTCTTTTTATTATGTATGTCATTGCTGTCTTTCCATGATTTCTGTGTGCTTGGCTTTGGTGCTGTCCTGTCAAGTGCAGCTTGAAAGCAGTAAATTTGCATTTATATAAATAATAAAAAAACTGTTGTATTGTTTGTGTCTCACTTTAATTGAGTTCTGCTTTTTTTCGGGATTTCACCTTTGCAGTATTTATGTATGCGTGGGTATGCATCGGTAGGCAACAGTTACTGCTAGCTGTATGTGTATGCAGGTGGTAAGGCAGTATGTGGAGAGCATGTTAATGGTAGGCTGAAAATGTCTAATTTATAGATTTACTAGCTGACTCGACGAACTTTGTCCCGACCAAAATTGATTTTTTTATTGAAACATTTAGTCTAACGTTTTCACTAAAATTCACCATTAATTGTCTTTATTCTGTTCAGTCGCCGTAAATCAAGGACCGCAATGGTTATGGTGGCAATTTGACTTTGATGCCTGGTGTCTCCGAATGACTTCACTTAACGATTTTTTGCAATAACTCGACTCCAGCGCCACCTTGCGTTTTAAGTTGTCGCGATTATAAGGCAACTTGGATCAAAAATATGATTTTTAGTAATAATTCGACTCCAGAGCCACTGTCGATAAATTTTTTCCGCTGCAATATTTCTATTCACGTTACCAATACATGTTTTGAATATTAGCCAGATCAGATCGTAAATGAAATTTTTAGTAGTAAATCCACCTGGCCACCTGGCGTTTAAAGTTGTGAACCTAACCTATACAGGAACCCAGTAAAATACGTAAAAAGGATCCTATGTGCTAATCTAGGCAAAAAGCTACCTACGTAACAAATTTTAAGCAAATCGGACCATAATAGGATTTTTTCGAATAGATCGGTCCCAGGTTCACCTGCCGGAAAAAAGTAAATTTTTTAAGGCCTGAGTCTAGGCCAGATTTGTTGAGTCGTCCCAGACGTGGGTTCTTCCGACCATCTTTTGTTTGTCTTCTCAACGAAGTATTTCCTGAGCCATGTGTTACAGGTAGATAGGGGTATGCCCGCTGCAGGAGAGGAGTTGACGTCAGACAGGTGGTTCCCTTCCTCACAACCTCGTCCGCCGCACAATTACCTTGAATTTCTCCGTTGCTGAGAGGACTTAACTTCTCATCCACCTACACAGTCCAAAGTAGCATCTGTTGCCAAGAGATATTCTCCGTTAGATTTGAAGGCTGGTATTTTTATTGGTGTTGTCGCTGGATCGTTAAAAACGAAGTCGTCTACTTTTTCATACTTGTAACTATCAACAGTGATGTGAGTTCCATGTCGCGCGTGCTCTTTTATTGACGTTTCTTGTTACGCCTTTTTTATCTTCCCTACCATCAGATTAAAGAAATCACATGAAAGGTATTCGCCATCTGCAAAACCTCGTTTGGTATCAAACGGAGGACCTTCCCAATTTTAGTGGAGGTATTTCTCAACGTCATTTTACACAGTCGTATTAGTTTCGCGGGGCTAGCGCGGTGGTGTAGTATTTGGCAGTGCGCGCTATCATTCTGCAGGGCCTGGGTTCAAGCCCGGTTCAACTCAAAATCAAAAAATAAGAAGCTAAAAAGTTGTTTTTCTAATAGCGGTCGCCCCTCGGCAATCAATGACAAACCTCCGAGTGTACGGTTCACTACGTCAAGACATTTATATCTCGTATCCCTGTGCAGCGACCAAAACCCCCGTTTGCGAGCGAGCTAAAGTGAGAAGGCGCCCAATGAAAAAACATGCCACGACAAACCTGGAATATCCGGACCTTTAATGGAGAAAGTGCCTCTGCCCGGCTGGTTGGATTTCGGAAAAAACAGAGGCTGACACCAGCGCCATCCAAAGAATGCCATAGATGGGGCAAGGTAAGTTAATCGTGGAGTCTTGCGATGTCTACCACAGTTGCAATGTAAAGAAGCGCAAATTCGGTGTAGAATTTGTGGTGGGAGAGAGAAAGGTCGCTAATGGACTGCGGCTTATCGTCTTCGCTAGTGTCCGAAACATTCAGAGAAAAAATATGCCGCTTAGTCGCTATGACGAGGTACGATAGCAAGTGCGGCGATGTAGAGTTGATAAGGTGCATGCATCCACTCGAATTCTGAGTATGACACAACTGCAAATCAACGTAAGAACTACTGAGAGAACAGTAAGATGAGGTTTAAACTGTTGAAAAGAGTTCCGTGGAGCTGTCACTCGGCCATACCTCTTCCATCCAGACCAGAAACTCAAGCCCAAAGGCAGAAGTGAAAAAGCGCGCTACATAAAGACGTAACGAGATGGGCGACAGCGAACTGATGAATAGTGGCCGCCGCTGGGACGTATACGAATTCCTCGAGAGGATCGGAAAACTAGCCGAGTGCTCCCGCATACAACTGAAAAACCTTCTCCCAACCCTACGTAGGTACGCCGCGGGAAGACGCTTCAAATTATATCGCGTGCGAAGACCGGAAATTTGCTCATGGGCTGCATTCCGTGCAGAAGTGGAGCGCTTCTTTCTGCCAAAGCGGCACATGAACTAGCTGGTAGATGTCACCATCCGATAACGAAGACAACATAGCAGGGTGAAAGCGACACTCGACTCTGGATCGGCTGAGCTTACATCAGAATTTGACGAATCCCATCTAACAAATGGGCGCGC